CGTGGTACGTGAACCTTAACTCCTCTTGCGTCCCTAGATTCTTCGTGCTTGACAATATTTCATGATTGTTGAACTTAGTTTCCAAGTGTCGCAAGGCATCTTCTTCGACGTCGGTCAGAGCATGCGTCGGTAATTGAATAGTCCATCCGTGTTTACAGCGGCGTACGTCTTGGACGTCTGATCTCTGTTCCACTGCACATGATAATGGAATTGCTTGTTGTTAACATGTGACCTCATTTAATTACAATCTGCACGTATATGAGGTAATTCACGAAATTGAGCGCTAAAAAAAAAAAACATTTTTTAGTGTTTTTCTGCCCCAATGATGTCGGATGATCAGATCATCGGGTGTTATGGCGACACCCGATGATCTGGTCATTGAATATATGTGGACGGTACTTTACGTTGAGGTACATCAGATGGACATTGGATATATGTGGACGGTATTTTACGTTGAGGTACATCAGATGGACAAGTCAAGATAACCACATTCTCACCCAATGAGCAATGAAATTAAGGAAAAAATATCAGTTTTTAACGAAATGTCAGTTGGAGAGAGAGAGAGAGAGAGAGAGAGAGAGAGAGAGAGAGAGCGAGAGCGAGAGAGAGAGAGATAACATTTTTTAGTGTTTTTCTGCCACCATAACGTCGGATGATCAGATCATCGGGTGTCATGGTGACACTCGATGATGTGGTCTTTGGATATATGTGGTCGGTACATCAGATGTACAATTCAAGATAACCACATTCTCACCCAATGAGCAATTAAAAATATCTGTTTTTAATGAAACGTTTGATCCGGCTCGAATTAATACAAATAAAACATCGAACAATTTGTCTGTTATTAGAGTATAGCTCTCTTTGCGTGCCCCCGCCCCCGCCCCCCCCCCCCCCCCCCCCCCCCCCCCCCCCCCCACACACACACACTCCACACACACCCCTATACACACTCACCCACCCACACCTAGGCAAATACTACTTATATCAACAAAACTAGTCGTTAAGTCGTATCTTCTTTGCAACGAGTCTCCCTGAACATCTAGGCACGACATTGTATGTGGTGTTCCCTTTCCTCGAATTCTTATTGCTAATATCATCCTTCTTTTGGTGGTGTTCCTCTTCCTCATTCTCATTCTGTCTCCCCTCTCTGTCCTTTCTATGCTCTCGCTGCTCACCTGATTGTGTCCTGATGTCAATGACATCGTCATCATCCGCCCTCTTGCGCTTTTCCTCTTGATGCGACTCACTAATCCGCTGCATACTAACTTCACCACCTTCTTTGAATGTTTCCTCCGGTCCTTGCATAGCACGCATGGGGCTTGATTCTGTGACCATTTGTGTTCCCGATCCCGTGCAGACCTTAGGGGATGTCATGGTTAGAAAGTGTCCCGCCGACTCTTTGTCCACTATAAATTCTTCTTGGTGCAATGCATGTTGCAATGATTGATCTTCAGCCCGCGTCGTATCTCTTGTTGTTTCGTCCCTGTCACCAACATAAATCTCCATCTTCTCATTCTCCTGAGCGTGGTCATCACTCTGCACTGTGATCACGAGTGGAAGTTTCACTTCACTCGTCGAAGCGTGGCCACCTTCTTCTGCCAATTGTTGACTGCTACCAAGATGTATGTCGCCTTCAAACTCGTGCACCGCTTCGCGACTTGCGAGCGTCCATTGGACATGACACTTCGACACGCTGGAATCAAGATCATAAAAGCTTGCGTTGTACTCGAGCAAGTTTTCCCTGGGCAGATTCTCGAAAAATGTGTCGGCATATGCCCGTTATGCAAGACAATTTGATCTATCGTTGGCTTCCTGCACTTTTATAGGAACTTGTTTCCTTGCGATCTCCAAAAACTTGCTCTTCAATAGCCGCTTTCTCAATTTCCACTCACCAGCGATGAACAGAGCCATGTCCCATTTCCCGTTCCACACGCAGGGCTCGAAAAGTGTCGGGTGCCATAATATATGATGGCTTCATTGGTGGTCTTCTGTCTCAACCAATGTCCCAATGTGGCTCAGGAAGTGCGGGCCTTCGGTGAACTCCTTCATATCCTCCCGAATTTTATCCCCTGGCATCAATTTTTCGTCCTCTTCGGGGGGAAGTGTGAACTTGATTGTGCTGTCGTTCATCCCGCCAGGCTGCACATTCTCCTCTGGGACGGATTACAGTGCTTGTCTCTTGGGAGCTTCGACAAGCCCATGCTTGCATATACAGTGTCCAGCTGAGTCAATATTCCTGGATATTTACCAGTAGTTTCTTTGACTTTTGATTGGAGCGGTGGTTCATTTCCTCTCGATGATGTCGCTTGTGGCTCCAACCCTTCATTGTTGTTGTTCTTGCTCACATCACATGCACAATTTTGGCCCCGGAGATCTTTTGCTACACTCCGCTTCATTCTCGTGCAGTACAACCTTTGTTCCTCACCACGAATGCTCTCCCGACTTGGGACGACATTTGTTTTTATCCACTCCATTGGCTGACGATCGTCAATGCCCTCCAATGTCTGCTGGACCTCTTCTTGAGCACCCGACATTGGCAGATCTATATCATCATCTATCGTTTCTTCCTCGTTGTCAAATAAATCGAAGTGCTCACCGGCATCCAGCTCGTCGGCGTATGCCTTGGCGCGCAATTTGTGTTTTTTTTTCTTGAACCATAATCACTCACACCGACCTATGAATATTTCGATTGCACCATTTTTAGCCCCGTGGTACCCTTGGAGATGTTGGATGGCAAACACTTTCCGGTGCATGTAATCAATGTCCTTAAGGGTCGTTGGTGCATTACAAAACAAATATCTCCACAATGATTCCGTCTTCTTGCCAAGCTTAAGATACATGTCTCTGTCTGGAAGGCGCGGCGTCTTGGTTCGTTCGAAGTGGCAATGACTTTCCGGCTTGTGGACTTGGATATC